ATGTATATATGTATATATATGTATATGTATTTGTATAAGTATATGTATATGTATATCTATATGTGTATATGTATATGTGTATATGTATATGTATATATATATATATACATATATATTTTGACACAAATATTGCTTGCACATTTTTACATGATCAGGTAAATTCTTAATTAACATATTTTCAAACACCCCTGAAAGTTATGCACAAATTTTACAGCTAGTCATTTACCAGAAATAGGTAACAGATTTAGAAGGAAAATCATGTGATATATTCAGTTTCTTTAGTAACAGATATCATCTTTGTGTAAGAATGTTTATTCGATATCAAAAGTATCAGGTTTAGTTGTCAGGTCTCACTGTAACCTCCCTTGTATATTGGTAAGTACCCTAAAGGAGATACTAGGAATAGGGAGGCTCATCTTCTTATAACTTAAATTGTTATTGAGGTTTTATCTCTGGCACTCTGATTTGAGCTGATTACTAATCAGAACTGTCAACTTGTATATTTTTTATTATTATCATTATTACATTTGTAAACCATCATGCTTTGATGGTAATTGGACGAGCAAATACTTAATTGAATCTCATCAATGTAACATATCTGTTGATAGCAAGTATTTGGAGTGTAGACTGGATGTGGACATGAAGATGTGATTTTAGTGAAAATAGAAAGGAGAAATATTTATAGATGTATAAGGAAATATGTGGCTTATGGCACAAGATGCATTTGTGCAATTCATCCCAGGTTTATTTCATGCTGTTGCAGTTTTGTTGAGTAGGTAGCCTTTAATGGATTTCCATTAATCTACAGATTCACTGTGCTACCAATTTTTAATTTGTCTTCTAGTCTCCTTGTAAACTTTTAATTTAGCCTCCTATGTACTTATTGTATTCTAGATCAGTGAAATATAACCTGGGTGGTTTTTAGAAATTGCAAAACTTATTTTCTTTCTCCTTCTCTTTTTATTTTTTATTTTTTGTTTTTTATTTTTTTTAGTAAGCTAGCATTTATATTATTTTGGAATATAATGAAAATAAAATAAGTTCTATTAATCTCTTTCAATTTTCCCTTTTTGTTATTTTTTTATCTTTTTGAGATATGCTGTTTATGAGCAAAAAAAAAAAAAAAAAAAAAAAAAAAAAAAAAAAAAAAAAAAAAAAAAAAAAAAAAAAAAAAAAAAAACAGAAGGAAAAGAAAAGGCCTATGGCAAAACACTCATTATCATAATAATACCATGAACTTCACCATTTTCCCAACAGTCTTCTGGCTTATAATGTGCATGGAAATCTCAAGCATAATTGTAAAAGTTCGGGGTCAGGAATCTATACCTTAGTATAAACCCATCTTTGATCTTGCAAATAATATCTTCGTTTATTGATGCCTCTGAATAGCAAAAGTCATAATCTAGCATCTAAAAGAGAGGGCTATGTAAATACTGTCTTTCCAGATCCTGAAATAATTAAGTGATTTAAAGTCTTTACATGCCTAATTCCTAGAGGCAGTACTATGGTGCTACACTTGTTATGATCTAATAGATTGAAATCCAAAGATTCTTGATTCAGAAAATATAAACTATTTTTTTTTAGGTCTGGCAGATTTTTGTAAGGCTTTTCCTTCTTAATTGTTTGACCATAATAGTAATAATAATCTTGTTTTCAGTTTAGGGACATACAAGAGTATACATTTAAACAAACAAAAATGTTTGGGTAAAAAAACATAATGAAATTTGATTACAAGCAAAAATGAGCATAGTGGCAATGAATTAGTATGGGGTTCAAGTTACATTTTTTCTGTTACTTAAAATTGTATCTTTCAGAAGCTTATTTTCATTAAAATTCACCCATACTTTACACAATACAAGCTATCAAATATACTACCACTTTCTGGTTTGCGACGAGATCATCAACTAAACATTCTACAAGTTATTTCCTCATCACTTTCAAATATAGAAATTAATAAATACTGAGACAACATTTGTTCAGAAAATGGATATGAAGAAAAAATTCTTTGCATAGAGTTTCAAGACACTAAATTATATGGAAAAGAAGGCTTTGAAAGGTGATAATTTCACATGTAAAATTTCTTCTGAAAGTTGAAGGGACTATTGCAAGGAATATAGCAAGAGTTAACATACTCAAATAAACAATATATGCAAATGGAAACACACACACACACACACACACACACA